GGTGGGGTCTATAGGTTGAGCAGAGCCAGACTAAATCCAAGAACCAAATTGACGTAGCCTGCTCCCAACCACATGGCTCCAAACTCTCGGAGAATTGGGCCTGCACTGGGGAAGAATGAGGCTGGCAGCTGGCCACACTTCTGGCCACCAGGGGAGTGTTCCATAAACCTTTTGAAACCCCTTCCTAATACGCACTTTTTTCAGTACAAGAGATGTAAGGATAAGACAGATAGATAACTGCTCTCGTGGAATTTACATCTTAATTGTTAAGGGCAAGAAATGTTATCAAATAATTCTAAATTCAGATCATACGTAAAATGAAGCAAATAAAAGAGGTTGCTGTTGTAATGACTGGTATGTATGTTGGGGAGGAATCTGAGTAGAGTTGTCCCTTCAGATAAGGTGACCAGCGAGGGATCCTCTGAGGAAGTGACACTGAGGAGCAGAAATGACCCAGGAGGAGGAGGAGACCGCCTTTGAGACAGTCAGAGGGAGACTATTCCAGGCAGGGGAAATGACAAGAGTTAAGGTCCTGAGGTGGGAAGACGCTTGGCAATTTCTGGGGACACAATGAAGTCTAGTGTATAGTGATAGTAGTTTGGATTCGATTTTGCAACAAGCCCAAAATCCCACTGATTTTAGTCAGATCCATGTTTATTTCCCTCTTACATAAAAACCCAGGCAGACACTCGAGAGCTGACATGGCCCTCCTTGGTGTCAAGAGATTAGACTTCTTCCTTCATGTTTGTCCACAATGAGCTTTCCATCCTCGTGGTAAAGTGTGACTGCTGCAGCTCCAGCCCTCACCCTTACAGCCAATGGGGGAGTGACAGTGTGGCAGTGAACAGCTCTCCCATCAGCCACTGTGGGTGTGGAGTGAAGACGTGAACAGCTACTCTGACCAGCCATTGGGAGAGTGGTGGTACAGCAGTAAACAGCTACACCAACCAGCTTGGGGTGTGGCAGTGTGGGCCTGTGAGGGAGGGCACCGTGTGTCTCAGGACTCTGGCCTGAGTGCCTGTGGCCTCTATTCTCATTGTGACAGGAGAGCAGGGAAGAATAGTCTGGGAGGAACATCTAGGGCTCCAGTTTGGACATGTTGACTTTGAGGTGCTAACACAACCATCTTGGAAGAAATGCAACCAGAGTGTCCCTAGACATGGGGATGGTGAGATTTCGGCCCGCTTACTTTGGACACGTCATCAGAAGCCCATCGCTGGAGAAGGAGATGGTGAAGTAGGAGGTGTGCGAGAAGGAAGGAGAACCTTCCACAAGATGAATCAACACAACAGACTCAAACATCTGTCTGATCCTGAAGAGGGGCGCCACCTTGATGTCCCCGTGGGACATGTGGAGTCAGCCCGGAGCAGAGACACACCTGGAGATGTTTGCGTTTCCAGAGGCGGGAGCACTACCTGACTGGGTCCTTGGGCACCGAGATGAAATGTGCTCAGAGTGTTTGCTGTCCTTGGGTGGCTCCCATGTCTCCTGACCGCCACCTACAGCTGTGCCCTAGTCCTTCCTGGCTGCCAGAAGCTTTCCACCAAGCCTTGTCCACCCACTGACCTTACCCTCTGCTTCCCGGACTGTCTCCGCAGCTGCTCCTAGAATTCACATTTAAATTTTTTTTTAAATTGAAACTCTTAAATAAAAAAACAAAATTGCATTTAAAAATGTTTCTTCTTTCCTTGCAATGTCAGTGGCGAAGCCGTGTGTTGTAAACCTTTACATCAGGAGTTATAACCGTCCCCACTGCCCGAGTGTCGGGCGGTCAAGCACACTGTCACCAGGATAATGGCAGCACATGGACTCTGCTGGGAGCTGGCTGCTGTCCACTGACGGGGACCTGGGAACAGCAGAGACAGTAGTCACGGCTCCCCGTGAGGCTGGGAGCTGGCTGTCGTCTGCTGAGGGAGGACCTGGATCCGCACAGAACAGGGACAGTGGTCACGCCTCCCCGTGATGTGGTCTTTCTTCCTAAAGAGAGTATCCCAAGGAGATGCTGCATTCTATTTTCCAAGTGTCCAGTGACAAATAGTGATACGGTGACTCTGATGTCCAGGGGGACAGACGTTTTCAAATCAAGTGCCATAGACGAAAATGAGGGTGGAAAAGTGGCCAGTGTGTCTGACAACCTGGGACTAGCTGGTGGCTTTGACAGAAGCGACTTCAGTGGCACCGAGTGGAGGACAAGAGGGTGGCCCTTCCAGCCGAATGCCTTTGTGCTCCCTGGTCCTACAAGCTGGGACTTGTTTGCTGTTGAGTCGAATCCAACTCATGGTTGATTTTCCACGCTGTGATCTTTATACGGCCACTGTGAGTCGGAACCTATTGGAGAGCACTTCACAACAACAACACTTAACAACAACAACACTTAATAACAACAACAAAAATCATCTGTATGGGAGCAAATCACCAGGTATTTTCTCCCTTGGGGCCGCTCGGTGACCTCGAACCACTGACCTTCGGGTTAACAGCTGAACACTTAACCATTGCACAGCCAGGACCCCTTAGTTGGGACTCAGTAACCCATAAACATTAAGAATATGAAAACTGTATCGTTGAACTTGGACCGCCAGTGTGTGTGGTGAGGCACGTGGAGGTGTAGAAGAAGGGGGGCCCTGGCTGTTCTCAGGGAGACCGGCCAGGCAGGACAGACCCCTGGATATACTGCCTCTGGGGGTCTGGCCTGTCACTGCTACCTGCTGCTCCACCTGCACACTACAGCTTCAGTACCTTACTATGTGTGACAGACAGATGGACAGACAGACACACGTTAGAAGAGGCTTCAGGATGAGGGACCAGACAAGGCAGAAGGAAACGCAAAGAAACGTCTACCATGAGTCAGCGAGAAGGTACCTCAGCTGGAAATACTAACAAAGAATGAAAAAGAGCCCAGGGGAATTCAAACCTATGTTATCATGGCAAGTGCAGTTGAAAAGTATTTCAGAAAACACTGCGAAAAGAATAAGAGATGAAGACTAGAGAAGAGAAAATACGGTGCGGCTCTTCTGCGGCTGGTGTGTGCAGGAGGTAAACTACGAACACACAGGACGTGGAGGGGAGGAAATAAGAAAAGTTGCCAGAGCTGAAAGACTCGAGGCCCTGGCTTGAAAGTTCTGACACATCTCACTGGTGCGTTCCTCTGAGGTTTCAGAACACTTCAGGGTAAGGAAGATCCTAGAAGCAGCCAGTGAAAGGAAAAACTAACCTAACCGTGTGGTGAGTTAGGACTCTAAGCCTTTACCATATCAACATCTGGGGGTGACTTTTCAGCCCAGAATTTGGTACTCCAACTAACCCTTTGTCAGTTGTGAGGGTATGAGCGGTGATAGAGTCCTGTTGTGGTGCTGTAGGATAAGCACTGGACTGCTAACGGCAAAGACGGCGGTTCAGACCCTCCAGTCACTCCTCGGAAGCCCTGTACAGGGTCACTATGATTTGGAACCGTCTTGATGTCACTTACAACAAGAGAGGTGCCACTTAATGTTATAAACCTTACTGCTCTCCCACAGAGGAGGTGAGGGAGAAAACTGAGAGGGGTAATGTGATCCTGGAAAGAGGGACCCCAAAATGGGCAGTGACAAGGAGAGTCCTGAGGACAAGTGACGGTGTCCCAGGATGGCCCAGCCTGACAGGGGCCGTGGGGCCTGATGGGGGCTGTGGGGCCATGCCGTCACAGGTCTGAGGAACTCAAGAGGGGGTGGAAGTGCCAACAAGAGACGTCGGCATTGTGCCTCGTTTGGTCCTGCTGCGTGTGACAGATTCTTAGGAGTCATCATCATGTCTAAACAGTCTGAAAAATGAAGAAACAGCAATGTAAACCAAAAGGGCAAAGAAAACCAGGGGTCAGGGAGACTTGAGTGCCAGAAACGGAGCCACCAGAATGCACCAACTGGTGTCGAAATGTCCAGGTGGGAACCGAATGTGCTATGTCAGCTTTCACTGGGAACAAGGAAGGTGATGATGTGAACGCGCAGTTTTGAAATGTGAAGGTAAACTCTGCAGGAAGCCGCCGAACAAGCTGGATGAGCAGTGAGATGTTGTTGCTCCTGAGATTGTACCCTGTGTTTTTATTTTCACTCTGTGCCTGATAACGCTGTGATAAAGTCATGTTTCAAAAGTACAGCAGGAGCGGAGTTTGCTGTGATGTTGACCCAGAGACTGGCTGCAGCCTTGACCCTCGAGGCTTCCTCAGATCCCACTGAAAGGGGGTCTGTGCTCCAGGCCCCCTCCCCCTTAAAGCTGGGACGCTGGGGACAGCCTCGGTGCCCTTGGCTTCTGTCTCAGCCTCCGTAGCTGCAGTGACAGAAATACCCCACGTGGGGGCTTCAAAGACGGCATGCACGCTTTCACAGTTGAGGAGCTGGGAGTCCACCTGCCGGGCGCCGTCTGGGGGAATGTGGTCCCTTGTCCACCTCCACGTGGCGTCTGTCTTCCTCCAGTGTGCACCTGCTTGCCTCAGTGTGTCAGTTGGTCCTTAAAGCTCAGAAGTGATTTAGGACCCACCCTGTACAAAGAAGCCCCAAACCCTCGTCCCAAACAGCACCCTGTCCACAGGTCTAGGAGTTAGGACTCAGCACTTATCGTGGGGACACGGTTCCACCCGCAACAGCTGAGCTGGCGAGGCCTTTCCTGGGAGGGTCGGGGGGGGGGGGCACGAGGAAGGGCCTCTGTGACTTGGCTCACGTGGAGCTGTGATATGAAGTGGGGTCACTTGCCCATGAGCCTGCCCTTCGCCACCTTGTGAAGTTCAGGTGCCCAGCCCAGCCTTCTCTCCTGCTGCCTTCTGTCAGTCCCTAAAGCCTGGCCTGGGTGGACCTTTAGGGCCAGAGGGCCTGTGCGACCCCTCATACCTCTACATCTGGCAGGTTGAGCCCCACACCTCTTCTGACCTGGGAAAATGAGATATTTGCAAGAGACCTGCCCTTTGGGTGATGATATCGGGAGGGTCTCCCTTGAAGCCCCCTTGACTGACTGCACGTCTCTCTATGCCTTAGGGGTGTCTCCAGTCAGTGCAACCCCACAACGCTCTCGGACACAGAGACCACTGTCCTGCGCATCACTGGGAAGGTAATTGAAGCTGCTCTCTGTCTCCCTCAGCCGTGCTCGGACCTGGTGGGGGCACGTGCTGGCCTCCCCACACACCTGCCCTGTCCTACACTCCCTGTCTGTGCCTCAGTCTGTCTGCTGTAGAGTGAGCCCCTAACTGACCTCTTACTTGGAGGGCTGAGTTTCCACTGGCTTCCCGTGGAGTATGTGGCAGGACTTCCGGTAACCAAGGAAGCCAGGCATCCACCCTGGCCCCAGGTTTCAGATTTCAGAGCACACTGTACTTTTCAGTTACCGTCCATTAAAAGTTGGTTATTAAACTTACTTCTTAGAGCAATTTTAGGCTTTTACAAGAAAACTGAGCTGAGAAGTGTCCTCAAACATCCCCTCCCTGGCCTTAGCTGCCCCCATCATCCCTGCCCTGCATTCCTGGGGGTGTGTGCTAGTCATCATGATTGACTCCCAAGTCCCCAGTCTGCATGAGGACTGGCCTGGCCTGTGGGTTTTGGCCACCGTTGAGGTCCTGGCCTCCGCTCCACTCTGCAGCTGTCCCTGGTGGATGATAGATGGTACACGTGTCATCCCCAGGCCTGCCCTGTGGTCCACTTCGATAGGATGTTCATGAACATTCTGTTTTCAATGAACAGTTGGCTTTACTGCACCTCTCTTCTATATCTGCAACCAGAGAACAAGCCAGAAGTTAGCTACGGTGTCGCCAGGGATGTGAGGCGACATGCGTGAGCTCCTGGCTTGTTATCTGCAACCAGAGAACAAGCCAGGAGGTAGCCACGGTGTTGCCAGGGATGTGAGGAGACATGCGTGAGCTCCCCTACAGGCACACAGGCCCAGGCGGGAGGTTGGGTATACATGGCATGATGTTGGTTAAGGCTCTGTGTCTGCCTTCTCCAGGGCTGTCCACAGCACCCCCGTCAGACGTGCATCCGGACCAGCCCCACAAAGCCTCCTTCCCAGCACCAGGACACCACTGAGTACAAAACGGGCTCTGGCCATGCCCACCCCGGCCAGCCACCGCCTCTCTGGCCTCCCGTTCATGATGACACGGAGCATACCACGGGCTCTGGCTTCTCCCCAGTGTGGCCCCGTCCGGCGACTTTCCTCAGAGCCCCGGAGGAGGTCTGGGGCGAGGTAAATGATGAAGGTGCCTGAGTGGGAAAGACAAGGGCTTGAATTGGCTGTTTCCCCTCATTCAGGTCCGACTCTGGTCTGGCTCTCCTGGGGCAGACAGCCGCTAAGGCTCCTGGTGGAGAAAGGCCCGGCTGAGCAGCAGCAACACAGCACATGTCCATGTTGCAGGGCAGTCCACTGCACACGCTCTCCTAGTGCCCTGTGGACCGGCAGCACTGACAGACACTATTATAACTGCCCCCTCACCACCCCGAAACGGTAGTGGGAAGATTTCAGCCTAAGTAGACCAGACTGCAGTGAGAAAATAGACTACACTGGATAGAGGTGACGGGAGGTAACTCTGCTCACAGTTGGCCGGTCAGTGCAGAATTCTTAATGAAGTCACTTCCCACACTGGAACGCAAATGCTCTTCTCCAGCACCATAGCTCAAATGCATCAATTCTTCTACGGTCGTCCTTATTCACGGTCCAGCTTTCACATGCATATGAGGTTATTGAAAATCCCATGGCTTGGGTCAGGCTCACCTTAGTCCTCAAGCTGACATCTTTGCTCTTCAACACTTTAAAAAGGTCTTGCGCAGCAGATTTGACTAACGCAATACGTCCTTTGATTTCTTAACTGCTGCTTCCATGAGTGTTGATCTAAGCAGAATGAAGTCTTTTGACAACTTCAATATTTTCTCCATTTATCTTGATGTTAATTTTGGTCCAGTGATGAGGATTTTTTTTTTCTTTACATTGAGGTGCAGCCCATACCAGAGGCTGTGGTCTTTGATCTTCATCAGTATTTTAAGTCCTCTTCACTTTCAGCAAACAAGGTTTATAACATTTGCATATTATATTGCAGGTTGTTAATGAGTCTTCCTCCAATTCTGATGCCACTTTCTTCATATATTCTAGCTTCTCAGATGATTTACTCAGCATACAGATTAAATAAGTATGGTTAAAGAATACAACCTTGGCACACAACTTCCTTAATTTTAAACCATTCAGTGTTTCCTTGTTCTGTTCCAACAACTGCCTCTTGGTCTCTGTACAGGTTCCTCATGAACACATTTAAATATCCCAGAACACTCATTCTTTGTAATGTTGTCCATAGTTTATCATGATCCATGAAATCAAAAGCCTCTGCTTTCAGCCAAGATCTATCTGATGTCAGCAATGATATCCCTCGTTCCACGTCTTCATTTGAATTTGCCTTGAACCTCTGGAAGTTCCCTGCCAATGTACTTTTGCAGCTGTTTTTAAATTATCTTTAGCAACATTTTACATGCATGTGATTTTTATATTGTCTGATTTCCACATTATCTTGGGTCCCCTCTCTTTGGAATGGGAACACTTATGGAGCTTTCTAGTCAGTTGGCTAGGTAGCTGTCTTCCACATTCCTTGGCGTAGATGTGTGAGTGCCTACAGTGCAACATCAGTTTGTTGAAAGATTTTAGTTTGTATTCCATCAATTCCCGGAGCCTTGTTCTTTGCCAGTGCCTTCAGTGCACCTTGGACTTCTTCCTTCAGGAACACTGGCCCTTGATCATATGCTGCCTCTTGGAATGGTTGAACATCAACCACTTCTTTGTGGTACTGTGACTCCCTCGGTCATTTTTAATGCTTTCTGTATCATTCAAAATTCTGCCCATAGACGCCTTCAGGATTGCAAGTTGAGGCTTGAATTTTTTCCTCACTTCTTTCTGCTTGAGAAATGCTGAGCATGTTCTTCCCTTTTGGTTTTCTAACTCCAGGTCTTTGCACATTTTGTTGTAATATTTGACTTTGTATATATATATATTGTTGTTGTTGTTATGTGCCATCGAGTCGGTTCCGACCCATAGCGACCCTGTATAGGGTTTCCGAGGGTGTAAATCTTTACGGGAGT